ATGTAGATAACTTTGCTATTCTGAAACGTAACTTTTCCAGTTGCTAATTGACTGGTTCGCTCCACCAGAGGCTGGTTGCTGCGTGGCAGTATGGCTTCGTCAAATCGGGTTCAGCACCTTTTACGGATCGATTGTGCTCAAAATTTACAGGTAATCTCTTTTTTACACATATAAGTTAGAAAATATAATAACCGTTCGCGTGATTGAACAATGCAATTTAGGAATTTGCAAGAGTATCGCGTACGGAAAGCACAGCACGTTTCCGTGAGAGAGAAAGATATGGTGAAGTATCTGATCGGAATGCTTGCTCTCACGATCACGGGTTTGTTTTTGAAAATCTCGCTTTAGAAAGCTTATTCAAGCTTAAATCATGCACACCTTTGATAAACTTTGCTTTTAGAGTCTTCATTTTTAAATCGTGAATAACTGTAGCTATAATCATATGATTAAAATATCAAAAAATTTCGTTAAATATTATGGGGAGGGGAAGTCATTATAGCGTAACGATCACCTATCTGGCGAAAAGGACTACAGCAAGACTTGTCCTTAACAAATCTTTCATCTTTTATCTAGCAATTAACTTCTTTTCATTGAAAATGCTAATTAAATTCAGAGACAGCTTTCTCAAACTCGGAGAAAATATGTTAGATTATACCAGAAAGTACCTATAAAATTTGAATCTATAGTTGTTCTCACTTGTGGCTAACTGCAAGTGCTCAGGTGGAAACTTTATCGTTGCGCCTGTCGGTGATAAGAATAACTTTGTAAATCCTTTATCCATGTCCTCGTTAACTTGGTTTTATTTTGCTGCTACATGATATGATATCATTTTTTGTAATCAATGTCCTTATTCTCAATAAATCGCTTCCATAAGTTTTTACTAGCACTGAGTCAGTTTGAGTTACAAGGAAGAATCAAATCATTGGGGTAAATTTATAAATAATCACATTTGTAGTTCTCGTAAACGAGTATTTGTTATTATTAGAAAACACCTTAGGTCTCCTATTGTATTCTCGTTAACTGTTATGATTTTTCATTTCTTTAAACTGCCATCACCAAAAATTACTGGTCACATGAGTGAGAATCACTACTTTGAGATTACATTTTGCAGGTTTGATGGCTTGGACAGTTGGTTCGTGGGGTGACCAAGCACTGTGGAAGACAGCTTGGCCACAGTGCAGAATGCAGGGTTGGCACGTGATTTGGCACTGTTACGAGCTGCTGTTTCTGCTCTATGGAATGAGACTTTGCTATAAAGTTTGTCACTAAAACTGTGTCTACAAGCCTCATTCACTTGTAATGAAAATGAATTTGTTGTCAGGCACGTAACAGCGACTGGCTAGAACGATGGCAATTCACTGTTGCTGTTTGTTTGGAGGCTGTCATTACACTCATGGCAAATCTCATCAGGTAGA